CCACTATTTTCTCCAATTTTTTCATTAATCTCCACTTTACTATTACATCGAGTTTCATCTTCTGCATCTGTTGTTTTATCTAAGTCATATTGTGCCTTTGTATCAACATTTTCATCACGTTCATCTGGTTTGAAGACAATATATTTATCAGTTTGATTTTCTTGCTCAACATTACCTTCCTCACTATCCCAACTATGTTGTTCAAGTTCTCCAACTTCTTCAACTTTAACATCATCCCTAGATTTGTTTTGTCCAGCTGTTTTCTTTTGGTCATGAGTTCGATTTTCATGGATTACATCACCATCATCACTATGCCAGCTACTTTGTTCCTCAACTTCTTCAACTACAACATTATCTTCAGTTTCATCTTGTCCATCCACTGATTTATCCAGATCTTGTTGTTCCTTTGAATCAGCAATATTTTCTGGTTCGTAGACAACATAATTATCAGTTGGATTCCCTTGGATAACATCACATTCATCACTATCCCAGCTATTTGCTTCAACTTCTTTAACTACAACATTATCTTTTGTTTCATCTCGTCCATCCATTGATTTAACTAGATTATGTTGTTCCCTTGAATCAGTAACTTCTTCTGGTTTGTAGACAACATAATTATCAGTTGGATTCCCTTGGATAACATCACTTTCATCACTATCCCAGCTATTTGCTTCAACTTCTTTAACTACAACATTATCTTTTGTTTCATCTCGTCCATCCATTGATTTAACTAGATTATGTTGTTCCCTTGAATCAGTAACTTCTTCTGGTTTGTAGACAACATAATTATCAGTTGGATTCACGTGGATAACATCACATTCATCACTATCCCAGCTATTTGCTTCAACTTCTTTAACTACATTATCTTTTGTTTCATCTTTTCCATCCATTGATTTATCTAGATCATTTTGTTCCTTTGAATCAGCAACTTCTTCTGGTTTGTAGACAACATAATTATCAGTTGGATTCCCTTGGATAACATCACTTTCATCACTATCCCAGCTATTTGCTTCAACTTCTTCAACTACAACATTATCTTTTGTTTCATCTTGTCCATCTATTGATTTATCTAGATTATGTTGTTCCTTTGAATCTGCAACTTCTTCTGGTTTGTAGACAACATAATTATCAGTTAGATTCCCTTGGATAACATCACATTCATCACTATCCCAGCTATTTGCTTCAACTTCTTCAACTACAACATTATCTTTTGTTTCATCTTGTCGACCCATTGATTTATCTACTTGTTCCCTTGATTCAGCAACTTCTTCTGGTTTGTAGACAACATAATTATCAGTTGGATTCCCTTGGATAACATCACCTTCATCACTATCCCAGCTATTGCTCAACA